CAGTTGGGGCGTCTTTTGGCATCTCCGCCCGTCATTGTTGTATTTGATATATACCCCAGAGGCAACAACAGCAGCAGCAGCAGGGTCAGCAGCGGCAGCAGTGCGCAACGAAGCTCATCTGTCCGCGGCGGCTTGTCGTCCTCTCCTCAGGCCTTCAAAAGGAGCAGCAGCAGCAGCACCAGCAGTTTGGCCACCGAGTTTGGGGAGGCCTTTGGGTGGCAGATCCTCGAGTTCAGTCTAACAGAGGTGGGCCCTCCGCCTCTGCAGCTGCTGGTTGATTTTTGTTCTTCCCTTCGTTTCTGGCTGCAGCTGGACAGACACCTCAACCTGGCGGTGGTGAACATACACCCCAAGAGTGGATGCAGCGCTCTCCTGCTGCTTGCATGCGCAGCAATGGCGTGCAGCAGCAGCACAGGAGCAGCAGGTTGGACATCGCAGCAGCAGCTGCTGAAGATGCTGGGGAACGCCTCAATTGCTGCTCAAGACTGTGCCTATCCTCCAGAAACCGTAAAGGCGAGCAACAACAGCAGCAGCAACAGCAGCAGCAGCAGCAGCCAGAGGGGAGGGGGGGTGCTGCACTGGAAGCCTGCGGACCGCTGGCCGCCTTCGTGTCGTCGCTACCTGTCCTACTTTGAGAGTCTACTGCGGCAATCGTCTGTGCGTCTTCTATGCTACTGCTGCTCCTGCTGCGTCTGCTGTTGCCGTTGCTCTTGCTGCTGCAGCTGCTTTGTTGGCAGTGGCTGTTGCTGTTCCTGCAGTTGCTTTCGCTGCTCTGGCTCATGCTGCTGCTACTACGTTCCTAGATGTTGCTGCTGTTGTTGCGTTTGCTACTCTGCCCTGTGCGCCTCTCATCTTTGTGAGAGACTCCTTGCTACTGCTGCTGCTATTACTGCTGTCGCTGCTGCAGGGCCGAACCCTGGGGGAAGAGGCAGCAGGTGTCAGGCGGTCTGCGGCTGCGGGTGTGGAGACGCGTGTCGTTCGTCTGAAGAATCTTTTGGTAGATCATTTTGCTGCTCCTGCTGCACTGATTGCTGTTGAGGTATATGAGCTAGCCACTTGCTGCTGCTGCTGCAGCGGCTGCTGCAAGAAGCAAGATGATGCTGAAACCGTAGGCGTTCTCATGCGGCACCGCGCGAAGGCAGCAGCAGCAACAGCAGCAGCAACTGCTGCCACAGACCGCTTTCCTCTTGTACACCCCACACTTCAGTCCTGCAGCAGCAGCAGCACCAGCAACGGCACTGAATCAGAAGGACTCTTGCTTCCCCAGCAGCTGCTTCCTGCTGCTTCAACACAGAAGTTGCACTCGCAGCAGCAACCCCCGCAGCAACAACAGCAGAAACACCAACAGCAGCAGCAGCAGCAACAGCAGCAGCAGCAGCAGCAACAGGATGGAAGAGGGCGGTCGCAGCGAAAGGGGCTTGCTAGTTACTGGTTGAAGCAACGCGACACCGGACGGCAGCAGCAGCAGTGAGGCGTGTAATTCTAATTAGGTGCTGCATGGATGTCAGTGCTGCTTAACGTTGCTGCTACCCTTATTGCTGTTGTTGCTGATGTTGCTGCTGCTGCTGCAGATCTGAGGGACCACGGAGCGAAGGGACGCAAGACCACCCTTACTTGCAGGCGTTGCGGCAGCAGGCGCGGCTGCTACCGTATTCTGCTGCTGCAGAGACAGCAGCAGCAGAAGCAACAACCGCAGCAGCAGCAGCAGCAGCAATCGAAAACGCATGCAGCCCTGACGATGTGCCTCTGCTGCTGGACCCTGGGGGCCCCTTGGGCCACCTCGGAGCTTGCTGCGATGCTTATGTCTCCTTGCCTGTCGCTGCTCCTTGTCTCAGCAGCAAAATCCCCTGCTGCTGTTCACCTGCCTCTGATTCTAGCCACCTTTCTTGGGATGGTTCAGCTGCTGCAGCTGCAGCAACAACTGCTGCTGCTGCAGCAGAGGGCGGCAGCCCAAGCGCTGCTGATGCAGCTGAGTGGCTAGGATCCCCAGGTGCAACAGATGCGCCGGACGCTGCTGACGTTGCAGTTACAGCTGAGGAGTCTCTTGCTTCCCTGCAGCATCGACAGCAGCAGCAGCACATGCAGCAGCGACAGCTGCAACAGCAGCATCAGCGCGAGCTCCACTCCCACTTTGCCCTGCAGGCCTGTGCACAGGACTACCAGCTAATGGCTGCAGATACTCTTCCGGTGAGTCTGAACAACTGCAACAGCGGTTGCATCAGCAGCGGCTCGAACTGCTGCCGCCGCTCGATTTGCCGCAACTGCTGCACTTGGAGCAGATATAATAGCNGCAGCTGACACGCCAAAACTCTGTCTGCAGATCGAGTTACTTGAGAGGGAATATCAAAATAAGTAACAGCAGCAGCAGCTCTAGCTGCTGCAGCAGTAGAAAAAGAAGCGGCGGCAGCCGGTCGTATTGCTGCAGGAACTAGGCTAGCACCGGTTGCAGCTGCAGGAACCGGTTGTGGCCACTAGTGCGCAAGCTGCCGTATTGTTGCTGCTGCCAGTTGAACGCTTCTGCTGCAGCTGCAGGACACTCCGCTGCTGCTTCTTTAAGTGCTTCTGTTGCTGTTGTGTTGTTGCTGCTCAGGACGGCTCGGCGTCAGCAGTGTTTGACTTTGCTCATGACAGAAGTGGCAACAGCAGGCAGCTGCTGCTGTCGGGCGACGTGTTAATTGTCCTCCGCCAGTTGGTCCCCAAGCCACGCCCTCTGCGAGACGCTGTGGGGGCTGAGTCGCAGCACCGCTGGCAGCAGAATGCGCAGCAGCCGCAGCAGCACCAGCAGCAGCAGCACATCTACGCCATGTATGCACTCCACACAGGTTAGTCTACAAGGACTGAAGCAGCCGCTGAGACGTTACTGCTGCATTTGCCTCCATTGAAGGTTGTGCTGCACTCAAAGCAAACGGCTGTTGTTGCTGCTTCTGTTCCCTCTGCTGCAGGTTTTCTGCCGCTGAACCAGTCTGTGGTGGAGCTGCAGGCTCAGGACTTCGATTCGCCTGCCCCTCTCTCGCAGCGCCTGCGGGTGTCTCTGATATTCGAGCATGTAGATGACGTATTCAGAAGCAACAGCAGCAGCAGCAGCAGCAAAAGCGACAACCTTAGCAGCAGTTATTACTGCAGCACCACCGCTAGTGCAGCGAACAACTGCAACCTACCGCCAGTCCCAGCGGGTCAGTCAGATGCTGCTGTCGCTGACATGTCGCCTACTGCTGCTGCTGCTGCCGCGCCGACGGGANAGCGGGTCAGTCAGATGCTGCTGTCGCTGACATGTCGCCTACTGCTGCTGCTGCTGCCGCGCCGACGGGAACGGGGACCTGTGAGAAACAGCCCTTCCCCGGCAGCAGCAACACGGCTATTAGCAGCAAGCCTACACCAAGCAAGTCTCTGGTTGGGGGGATTGTCTCTTCGTTGCTGCGGTGGCAGCAGCCGCGAGAGCAATGTGCGGAGCATCAGATACAGCAGATGCAGCAGCGGCAACCGCAGCAACAACTGCAGCAACAACTACAACAGCAGGAGTCACAGGCTCGACCCTCCCATCGCCTTAGCACCTGCAGCAGCGTGAGCCTGACAGAGCCTTTTGCCCCACCTTCGCCGGCGTCGTCACAGGCAGCAGCAGGAGGAGCAGCACCAGCAGCAGCAGCGTTGCAGCGGCATCTTCACATAACCCGGAGGCCTACACCAAGCCGTAGAGACTTCGCAGCGAGACATTGCCTCCAAATAGATCGTGTGAGTTGTTGCTGTTGGATGCTGCTGCTGCTGCTGCATGGTGCTGCTGCTTATCTCCCTGCTGCAGTAGCTGCAACTTTGGCGGCGCTGAAAATACCGTCAAGGGCTTAAGACCCGTGAAGCTGCCTGCGGCAGTGCTGTTGCTGCTGTCGTTCTGCCCTTGCTGCTGCTGCTGTCGCTGATCCTGCTGCTGCTGCTGCTGCAGCGGTTGTTCAGCCGCCGCTGCTGCTGCTGTCGGAACGGTGCTGTTGTAGCGGTGTGGCTTGGTGTAGTTGCAGGTATGCTACTGCTGCTGAAGGCGGGTTCTGCGTCTGCGTTTGTGCTTGCTTTTCTGCTGCTGCAGCGGCTGCTACTGATGCTGGTGGAGGCCTCAGGCTGCAGCAACGACAGCTGCGCGGTTGCTCTGAAGCTCTGCAGCAACA